CCTGGAGGGCTGTTGTGAGGCCAGAAGCCCAAGCGGATGAGCGCAAAACAGGGTGACACGCGTGGGTTAGGACCTCATCCTGCGGTCCCACCACCACCCCCTGTCGCCTCTGTTCTTCCCCGTCACCTCCAGCGTCCAACTATGTTCTGCAAATTCCCACCCACGAGGTCACAGCCCTCTCCCCTTTCTTTGCCCCAAAGTACCACTACTAGGGGGAGGGAACTTTTCATAAAACCTGATTGACTGCTGGCAGGGACGTGAACAGCTCGCGTGGCCATGCTCCACGCCTTCCGGCCGCTGGTCAGCAGGTCCTCCTGGCTGCCGGCTCCTCGCACCCTGGCCGCCATGTGGGGGAGCCCCGGCCAACCCCCCACCCCCGGCTCCAGGGGCAGTCCCCTTGATGGTCACCCCCACATCACCTCTTTTATGGCCAGAGTCCCACCATGCTTTCCCAGGTGACTGATGCTTTGCGAGTGCAGCCCTCCCTACTTCTTTTTCTGGAATCGGCGCCCCCCATGATGTTTCGGGTGTCGGTGGTCCCGCAGGGCCCTGGAAGGGCTGGCTGCTCCCCCCAACTCCAGGGCCGGCGCGTCGGACTCGGATCAGCCAATAGGAGCGTCGCAGCCTCTGGCCACACCCCGCGGGACCAGGATTAGGATTTCTCTTTCCCTGGGGCGCAAAGCTGGGGCGCTGAGGTTCCGGGGCGGCCTGCCTCTGTCTCGGCCACATTGGCGGGAGGCCCTGCCCGAGAACGAGGACAAGGCGGGATGAAGCAAATCAGGAGATGCGGAGACTGACAAGACCGCCAGGAGCTTCCCGGCCCTCCGTTTGGATGTCCAAAAGGGGCCAAACACTCCTGTCTTTCCCCCTTTTTATTATTTGTTTTTTGTTAGAGTCGCCGCCAAAGAAACCCTTCCCATCTCAGCTGGCATGATTTCTGCTGCCATGGACCAGCCCGAGTGTCTAGGACATCAGCCCCCCACGGAGGAAGGGACCCCACCCAGCCGTGGAGTAAGGGAGGGCTGCCCGCTTAGCAGGCCCCACCCCGCCTCCCTACCTAATGGGCAAAGTGTTCCTGCATTTGAGCCATCAGAACAATGGTTCTGCCTAAAACACTCTCAAGGAAACCGAAAGACCCAGTCCCCAGGGGAGAGCAGGTGTTTGTTACACTCACAACAGCAAATGCCGGCTGTCTATCAAGGGCGTCCTGTGATGGCCACAGGCCCTGTTCTCAGCGCCTCACAAACAGGATCCCATTTGGTCCTCGCCTGAACCTTGAGAGAGGTGTCTTAGCAACAGCTGCTGTAGCCAAATACCACAGACTGGGGGTGGGGTGGGGTGGGGTGGGGTGGGGTGGGGTGGGGTGGGGAGGGCCTAAACAATGAGCACCTATTTCTCAGTGCTGGCGAGTCTCAGCTCCGGGTGCTCGCACCCTCATGGTCTGCTGAGAGAGCTGTCTTCCAGGCTTGTGGATGGCAGCCTTTCCCCGGTATCTTGCTATTGTGGGCTGGGGGTGGGGAGGCAGGTGGGGAGAACCCTCTGGTGTGTCTTCCTCTTATAAAGGCAGTCACCCCATCATGGGGACCCCACTCATGATTTCACCTAAAACTATCTCACAAAACCACCATCTCCAAATACCAAGATATTGAGAGCTGGTGCTTAAAATATGAGTTTGCCTTTGGAGTGCGGGAGACACATCAGTCTGCAAGAAGATTTTACTGATGAGGAGACTGAAGGGGACAGAGAAGTTGTGTGTTTGCCCAGGTTCTTGCAGTGGCAAGAGGAGGATTTGCATCAGTGGGCTGGGTTACAGATTCTACTGCTGCATCTCAAGGGGTTAGTACTCAGAATATAGAAAAATTTCTGAAAGTAAACAACAGTTGACTCACTAGACTGTGGGCAAAAGACATGACATGAATAAGCTAGCGCAGAATCAATGACCAATAAGCATATGAAAACAAGCTCAGCTCAGCTAATTAGACCATGTGCATAGCATTGTAGCCACTCGATTTGGAAAAAGAAATCTGAAAATTCCAAGTGTTGGCAGGGATGTGGACAACAGAATGGCTGATGGAGAGGCGGGAGTAGGTGCAAACACTGTGGAAGACCAGGTGGCATTGCTCAGTAAATGCCTACCCCATGCCTACCCCATGACTCAGCCATTCCACTTCCGGGTCTGTTTAACCTAAAGGAACGCAGGTACCTGAATTCCAGGAGACACGTGCAAAAATGTCCAAAGCAGCCGGGCTTGTGATAGTAGAGAAGAGACAATTCAAATAGCTGTTGTGAACAAAGTGAGGCGCTAGTACTCTAGCCATTCATGGGAAGGCGACACAGATTACACTGGCTGAACTGCAGCTGTGATGTGGCTGAATCTTAGAAACAGGATGTTCAGGGAAAGAGGAAACCTCGGGAGAATGCCCGTAAGACGCTGCTCTGAAAAATGTATTTTTCATTTCAGAAAATACAATACTTAAATAAAAGTAGACACGATGGTTGGGTGCATCCCCGTAACCCCAGCACCCAGCCTCACCCAGCAGCTGTGAACTCAGGTTCAGCCTCACACCTCACCCTGCCCCACCCCGCTGGAATAATTTTGAAGCAAATTCCAAACATTTCTGCAGTAAATATTTCAACACATGTCTCTAAAAAACAAAAGCTTTCCAATCATAACCTGAAAACCATTGTTAGACCAAGGAAATGAATCATTCTTTAATATCATTAAAGATATTTGGTGATACCCACCTTTTTGATGGTCTCATAAATGTCATCAAATTTTAGATTTCACTTGAATCAGGAACTAAAGAAGGTAGGTTCGCTGCCATTGCTGGATAGGCCTCTTTTTATTTTTTAAGATGTATTTTATTTATGCATACAAGAGCCAGGGTGTAGGCCAGCGGTGCAGGGGTGAGAGGATTCACCAGAGACAGAGTGGGGAGCAGAACAGGTGGATTGATTGAAATACACTGCTGAGGGGAGCAGCAGGCGAGACAGGAGAGGTCTGCTGCGCCATGTGGGTAGCTCCCTGGCTGAAAGATCGAACTCGTGCAGCAGTGGCTGCAGATAGCTTCACAGTGCTGAGATTTAGCCCCTTGCGCCACCAGAGAGGGCCTTGACATAACTCTTAAATCCCTTTTTTTCCATCCTATATTCAATGTGTGGGGTGGGGAGGAGTCTCTTTTTTATTTTTTCCTTTACAACATTTTGCTGAGGATCATGAGCATGTTCCTGGAGTTTCCCAGCCTGCATCTGGCTGATGCGCCCCCTAGTGGCACTGAGCCCACGCCTCTGTCTCCCGCACTCCCTGTGAATGGACATTTGCAGCAGGAAGCTTCACCACCCGCAGGCTCAGTGTTTTGGCGGGTGACCCCTCTAGGAGGTCTCAGCATTTGGGATGTAAGAGCAGCTGCTCACCGCCTACAGCCATGAGTGGGGGATTGCACCCCGATGATGTTCTAACGCTATCAGTTCATCCCCACTAGTGGTTAGAGCGTAAGGGACACTTTCCCTTATCTGCCTTGAGTTGTCCTGAGATTCATACAAGGCAAGAGGATCGCTTGATTAGTTTCCTTTTTGACCACTGTCCTGAGCGTTGCTTGTTTATGAAATGTCTGTGTGTATGTCGGAATTCCTTTTGCAAATTCTTGTAACATGACCTAGCAGGGAGGTTGTCTGGGGGAGACAGTTGCCTCCAGTTCTCAGCAGAATGGAAGCCTAAACACTGCTGAGCTGGTTTAAGCCGACTCACATCAGGGGTGGGTGAGCCGGAAGACGAAGCCCCCCAGAGGGAGCTGAGCTGAGGTTTGACCAGCCTGGACCAGTCGGAAACAAGCACTCTTGGGATGAAGGGCAGGAAGAAGGGACAAAAACAGCCCCATAACCTGTTCCGTGAGTCCGATGGCTGAAGTCCCTGCAGGCTGTCCTAGGTGCTCTGCACTCACCTTCATAAAAGGTTCACTTGAGGTGAACTTGACCTCCTCCTTGGGGCCATATACAGTTAGCCCTACAGCTGCAGTCAGTGACTTGACTGACACAGGATCACTCAGAGCTCTCTGGGTTTCCTGCCGGTGAAAGAGGAAGGCTCGCCAGATGCTTACACACCATTCGAACAAGGGTGGGAAGTGTCTGAAATATTCTGGCGAGCATGGCATGCTACCAATTTCACAAAAACAGCCCATGCTAAGCCCCCACCATGCTCATGAGTAAGAAAACCTGTCTCCAACATTCATCATGCTAATGAATGAAGTCTGGTGTTTCGCAGAGATAAATAGTTGAAGCTCTTTTTTTTAAGATTTATTTTTATTTATTTATGCATACAAGAAGTGGGGTGTAGGCCAGAAGTGGGGGGGGGCAGGGAATGAGAGGATTCACCAGAGAGAGTGGGGAGCAGAAGAGGCGTTCTACTGAAACACACTGCCGAGGGGAGTAGCAGGTGAGACAGGAGAGGTCTGCTGTGCCATGTGTGTATCTCCCTGGCCCGGGATCGAACTCGTGAGGCAGAGGCTGCTAACCCCTTGCGCCACCAGGGAGGTCCAAGAGGGGATCCTTCTAAACCCATTTTATGAGGTCAGCAATACCCTGATCACAAAAACATGGGGGGACGCCACAAAAAAAGAAAGAAAGAAAAAAAGAAAGTGACAAACCAGCGTCTCTGAGGAACAGAGATGCAGCAATACCGGTGTCCAAGGGACCCACATTCCCCCTCGGGCCAAGCCAAGGAACCCCCGGGCGCCCCGGCGCGGGAGCGAGGGCCGCGACGCCGTCCGGCCACCAGGGGGCGCCGTGCGCCCAGCGCGGCGGGGCTCGGGCGGGGCCGCCTCTCGTGCGCGGCGGGACTTTCCCTGCACCTGGGGCCCCAGCGGGTGCTGAGCTGGGGCGCTGCCCCCCCGCGGGCTCCCCCGGGGGAAGCGCCCCGCCGCAGGCAGGCTGCGAGCTGGGGTGCCGTCTGGCCGGGCATCTCTCTCCACCCCCGTAATTACGTGGCGACCCCGACCCGGCGGGAGCGCCGCGCCCCCTCCTCCTCCGGAGCCCCTCAGGTAGGACGGGGGGCTCGGGGCCGAGGGTGAGCCCCGGCGGGAGAGTGGGCGTCGGGCTGGCGCGCCCCGGCCCCTCGCGCCCCCACCGGCCTCCTCGTGCGCGTCCGCCCCGGGGTGCGGGCGCCTGTCGGGCGGGGAGGGCGCGCCCCGTGCGCTTGCCGGCCCCACCCCGCGAGCCGCGTGCTGGCTCCCCGAGAACGCGAGGGGGCGGTGAGCAGGAGGGGCGCGCACCCCCCTCGAGGTTGGAGTGTCCAAGGGGACAGATTGGTGGGGACACGTCCCCTGCTTGCAGAGGGGACGGTCTGGAGGCCGGAGATGGGGGTCAGGGGCGGGGGAACGACTAAAGCGTCCCGTGAGCCCCCCCAAACTTCATGGGCTCTCCTCCGAGCGCCGGGTGCGGCGGGAAGAGGAGCGAAGACCCCCCCAATCCCACCCCCCCACCCCCGCCCAAGCAAGGCGACCCTCCCCGGGCGCCCAGGGCAGGAAGCGCCCTCGGAGATGCCGGCGCGCTCGGCTCCCCCCCATTTTTTTTAAGTTTTATTTATTTATTTATACAAGCACTGGGTACAGTCAGAAGCGCGGGAGGGTGAGAGGATTCACCAGAGCCAGAGCGGGGAGCAGAGCAGGCAGAAGGACCGAAGTACACTGCTGAGGGGAGCAGCGGGCGGCAGGAGAGGTCTGCGCGCCATGTGGGACCCTCGCCCAGCGGCCGGGGATCGAACCGGCGCTGCAGAGGCCGCGGGCAGCTTCGCAGCCCAGCGCTCAACCGCTGCGCCCCCGGGGAGGCCCGTCGGCTCCCTTTGACCCGCGTCCCAGGTGTGCACGGAGACGCGACGCGCTGTGAGGCTCTGGAAAACTTTATTTCTCCCCCCGCCCCCCAAATCCCCGGGCCCCCTCGGGCGGGGCGGGCTCAGAAGATCTTGACGGACTCCAGCTTCACGTCCCCGCCCACCTCCAGCACGCGCACGCGGGCCGCGGGGATGCGGTAGCGGAAGTGGTGGTACTCCTGGTCCCCCACCACGGCCTGCGGGGAGAGGCCCGGTGAGGCGCCCGCCCCCGCCCCCCGCACCCCGCTCCCCGGGCGCTGACCTCTGGCCGGGCCTGTCCGAGCCCCCGCGGAGGGGGGGCGCTGGTCACATTATCACCTGGACTTCGGGGACCCCGTCCCCTGCCCAAGCCCAGACTAAAGTGGTGAACGGCCTGGTGAGGGGAGCGTCTGCAGGGGCCCCCGCTAGACTGGGCGTGTTTCTGGGTGGCGTCTCCCGCCCCAGCCTTGCCCCCACCCAGCCCCAACCTCTCCCGGGAGAGATGAGGGAGCAGGGCGGGGCTGGCTCGTCTTCAGGCCTCCCTGCCAGGCCCACACCCCTTTGGGGCACTTGGCTCAGGTGCCTGGTTCTTGCCCCCCACACACCTGCCCTTCTGGAATTCTGGGACGTGACTGGGGATGCCCTACCCTCTGCCCCGTGGCTCTGCCTTCCACCCACCTCCACCCGGGGGGGCAGCTCCCTAACTGGCAGGTGGGGCCTGGCCCTTGGCCGCCACCCCTGTGGCAGAGACTCACCTTGAAGCCATCTTGGGTGGCGATGAGGAGCACCTCGAAGGGCTGCCCGCCCTGGAAGGGGATCCCCCTGCCTCGCTCCTCCTTGCCCCAGGTGCCCCGCTCCAGGGAGTTGAAGACCACCGTGGACTCGTCCAGTCTGGGGTTGAAATGCAGGGCGGCCTCGCTGTCCTTCTCATCGCTGCACAGCAGGTTCACGTAGAACCTACAGGTGGGGGCCAGAGAGGTGCCTCAGTGGACCTTGGGGGCTGAGACCCACCCACCCCAAGTTGGGGCCATGGACTGGGGTGCCCCAGAGTAACCCCCTAGCAGGACCTGGGCACGTTGCACCATGTGGAATAAGGGATCGGGGCCTGGTGGCCAGGGAGCCCAGGTCCTTGGCGGCCAAACACTTATTAGGGGACTGGACCCCCCACCTGGCAGGGTCACTGTGCAGTGACCTGAGTTCCCCTATTTCCAAACGGTCTGGAAGTTGCCAGAGTCGTGGCCAGTGCTCCCAGATTCCCAGCGCATCCCCAGTTCCCAGAGGACTGACAGTACTGGGGCCCCATCCGGTCATGTACCCCGGGGCCCCAGGACCCTGAAGTTCTAGGCTCAGGCGGTCATAGGACTGATCACCAAGTCTTTGCAGACAACCAGAGCACCTCCAGATCGCAAGGCCTATTTCTAGAATTCTTCGGGCTCAGATGGGAAGTTAGAGGACTACAGCAGGAACTCTGAGATCGCCCTGGAACCCCCAGATTCTTAGGGAGATGTAGAGACCCCAGCTACACAGTCAGTGGGCAAATTAGCAAAGACATCAGATTCCAGAAGGGCTTGTGTAGCCAGGGTATGCCAAGACCCTGGTGCCCGCCTCTTAGGCTGAGACTTCAGGGTCAGATGAAATTCGGGAACCACCCTCTGGGCCCCGAGGCTCACCTGCTCCCCTTGTCAGGAATGATGCCCCGAATTCGCATCACATTGCCCGCTTGGATGCCCTCAGGCAGTGAGGTCTTGTGGGGTACGTTCTGCAGGAGCAGAGATGCGGGGCCCACAGAGTGAACCAGGGGGACAAGAGAGAGAAGGAGGTTGGTCAGCCCCCGGGAGAAAAGGACCAGGACCAGGATCAACACCAAGCAGAGAGAAGAAAGAGCCGCTAAGGGGAGAGGTGGGGAGGGGAGCAGAGGATCTCAACGCAAGAATCCACAGAGGGGAGCCAAGAGGCTGACACCCCGGGGAGGCGAGAGCCTGGGAGAGTCACCCAGCAGCCACAGCCCACACCCTCCGCAGACACCCCAGCCACAGAGGACCCCGGCCAGGCCCAGCCCCTCCCCGAGTCAGCTCCAGCCCGGGGTTCTTCCCCCTGCTTAGCCTCAGCTCCCGGCCCCCCGCTCACCGAGCTCCCTGCCATGGCTGGGCGGGACAGGCAGCATGTGGAGGGCGAGGCTGCGCGGCCTTAAATAAAAGTGGGGCCAGGTGTGGCCGGTCCTGCTGACTCACCAGCCCTTTGCACGCCCACCACCCACGCCTGGAACAGACAGGAGCCTGGGGCCAGGCTGGCACAGCACCCGCTTTGGGGGGGCCTCAGATCCCCCCCGGCTGAGGGCTCCCGGGTGCACGCCCATCCTTTGGGGTATCTTAAAAGGACAGGCTTGTTAGGGAAGGAGAAAGAAAAAGAGGCACCTGCACAGTCACAGGTGGGTGAGGCCCCAATTTTTTAGTGAAAATTGGGGCCCAGAGACCAAGCAGGCGGCCGGGCCCTCTCCCCGCAGGCTGCACTTGCTGCCTAAGGCTGGGCTGAGCCTCCGTCCAAGCCCCGGTTGAGGCAGCTCCTGCCTGCGGTGGCCGCAGCTGCTTTTTTTCCTTCTCCTCCTTCTAATAAATCTGTCCTTAAAAAATTTCCAAAAACCCAACACCCCCAAAACCCAGTCGATGCTTCTGTCATGTAACATGACGTGGCAACAACAATCATCACCCAAAAGGGTCCCCTGGGGCAGGATTTGGGTGAAGGTCAAGGCCTTGTCCTTGGGGCCTAGCGCAGAGCCTGGCACACAGGAGCTCAGGGAAGCCGGGCAAGAGGGAACAAAAGATTAAAGCCGCCATTCACTGAGCCCCGGCTCTCCAGGGACAGGCAGAGAGGGGAGCACCGGTCACCCCATTTTACAGGCAAGGAAGCTGAGATCAGAAAGGGGCGGGCCCCCAGGGTGCACAGCCTTGTCTCCAGGACTCTGCAGGGCTCATGATTCTGGGTTCCGTGATGCCCTGGGCTCTGGGCCCTGACTGTCTCCCCGCGCGTCTTCCGTGGCTCCTCTCTAGTGAGTCTCCTGATCCGCCTCCCACAGCTGCTACCGCCTCCCGCCCACGGTAGGTTTCAGGACAAGGAGGTGGAGTGGAAGGGAGTCCTCAGCCCACCCCCCAGACCAAGGAGGGGGCATGTGGGCTCTACAACCCGAGACTGGGCATCCAGACGGAAAGGGTTGGGTTGTGGGGAGATGGCAGATCTTTCTGGAAGGCGGGGAAGAGGGAGGGTGGGTAGCTGAGCAGAAATCCCTCCTCCAGCCCAGCCGGCCTCCTCTTCCTTTCCACCACCTCCTCACCGCCCCGCCCATGCCCCCCCAGCCCAGGCGGGAAAGAGGCCTGGGGCGCAGGGGATGGAAACTGGGTGGAGGCCAGCAGACTCAGAACCTGCTCCACCGCCCTCCGCCCCCAGGCCTCCCAGGCTCTCTCCACGCCCCTCACACTGGGGTGCCTAGAATGGGGGGTACAAATGGGGGAGCAGGTGCCTCAGAGACAGAGGCTGGGGAGCTGCATTTAGTGAAGGCAGCATGCACCCCCACTTTGCAGAGAAGAAAAGGGATGCCTATGAGAGAGCCACAGCCAGGGCCATAGTGGAGCGGACCTGCGGCTGGCAGCGACCTGGGCCGCGTCCAAGGCCGCCTGGGGGCTTTCGGTACGGGCAGTGGGCCGGGCCCGACACCACCGGGGGTGGAGTGTCCAGAGGGTGGCGTCCAGCGCTCTCCACCGGGCCCCCATTCTGTGCTGAGCGTGCTGCTGGACCCCCTCCTCTGCCTTTCCGGGTTCCTCCCCGGCCTGGGTCTTCCCTACGTTCTGCGAGTCCACGCGGGCTCGGCGTTGGGCCCACGTGTGCAATTCAGCCCTTGTGGGTTATTCTTCATTTCTCCCAGCTCAGACTTGCCTTCCTGACAGCCTCTTCGTCTCAGGGTTGACAACCTGTCTGTCAAATCTTGAGAGACATTTTCAGGAACTTTTTTCTGGTTTTTCATTTTCAAATTAGTAGTGAATGTGTGTAGTTCACAGAGGACTTTTTCTTGAGGATAATGCAGTGCCCCCTCTGGGTTCTCTTCCCAAAAGTGCATAAGCCGAAGCAAATGACCAGGAAATATCAATCCGGAACCTTCCAAAGCCTCCAGGGCTTAAAAGGCAAAGGAAGCCTGAAGAGCTTTCCAGGAGACAGAAACTGAGAAGACATGAGAACCTCCCCATGGCCTATCTCCCCTGGATCCTTTGCCTCTGGGAACATTCTGGAACAACTGGCAGAACAAGATGGGGTGAAGACCAGGTGACTCTCAGGCTCCATGTGGAATTCCAGGTGGGGGTGGGGATGGGCGAATGTCCACTCTAATGTCCAGGGAGGATTCAGAGGTGATGGGCTTCCCCTTGGCAGTTCCTCACATGGAACTGTCTGAGCAAGTCATGGCTGTTTGCAGCAGGTAGTTTTCAGAGCTGTTTTTACTTGAAGGATAATTGACATGTTAGTTCTCCGTGTGCAGCACAATGGCTGGGTACTTGGAAACACTGCAAAATGACCATGGACTAGGTTAAGTTTCAGCACTCTCACTGATATGGCCTGAGTTCGATCCCCGGCCAGGGAGCTACCCACATGGTGCAGCAGACCTCTCCTGTCTCACCCGCTGCTCCCCTCAGCAGTGTATTTCAGTAGATCTGCCTGTTCTGCTCCCCACTCTTTCTCTGGTGAATCCTCTCACTCCCTGCATCTCTGGCCTGCACCCCAGTTCTTCTATGCAAAAATAAATAAAAATTAAAACAAACAACAAAAAATGACCATCCCAGTGAGTTGATGTACCATTTTAGTGACTTTCCAGTTTTCACAATACCACATACTGAGGACAGCTGCGTGCCATGCATGCACCCCATGAATAATTTACTCTGCAGCTGGAATCTGACCCTCTTGATTCCTGTCATCCTTCTGAGAGCACCCTCCACCTCTCTGATATCAGTCTGTTTCCTGTCATGATGGTTTCGCCTGTTTTATTTAGCCTGTATATTTCTTATTTAGAATACAATGTTTTGTTTTGTTTTTAAGATTCATTTATATAAGAACTGGGGTACAGGTTAGAGGCGCGGGAGGGTGAGAGAATTCACCAGAGAGAGCAGGGAGCAGAACAAGCAGATGGACGGAGGACACTGCTGAGGGGAGCGGTGGGCTAGACAGGAGAGGTCTGCCACGCCATGTGGGTTTCTCCCTGGCTGGCTGGGAATCAAACCCACGCTACAGAGGCTGCGGACAGCTTCACAGCACAGCACTCAACCCGCTGCGCCACCAGGGAGGCCCTAGCCTGTATTTTTCAACGATAAAAAATATAGTCTTGAGGGCCTCCCTGATGGTGCAAGGGGTTAAGTCTCAGCACTATAAAGCTACCTGCGGCCTCTGCAGCACAAGTTCGATCCCCAGCCAGGGAGCTACCCACGTGGTGCAGCAGACCTCTCCTGTCTCGCCCGCTGCTCCCCTCAGCAGTGTGCTTTGGTCAAGCTGCCTGTTCTGTTCCCCACTCTGTCTCTGGTGAATCCTTTCACACAGACCCCACCCCCGCACCTCTGGCCTGTACCCCAACTCTTGTATGTATAAATAAATAAATCTTTTAAAAAATATATAGTCTTGGAGGCCCCGAGCCTGACCTTTTTAAAGACTCCCCTATCGCCTGCCCACAGGAGGGATTTGACAGCAGACAGACAGAGAGTGAAGACGCTATGGAAACAACACAAGCTCCTCCAAGACCAACCGTGGAGACTCCAGTGACCGACCTAACCTGTCTCCAGCCGTGACGGGTGGTGTGCAGGGAATCGAGACTCTCTCCACTTGAAACAAGTCATCGTTCACCGGCATTGGTACCTCCCAGCTGCCCCCCCAGTGAGGGCATCCCCAACACCGAGGTGAGTTCAGCCTCTGGGGGACAAGGTACTAATTCAGGCTGCAGCTGAATTAGCCTTGGAGACACTGGGCTGAAAAGGAAACCAGACACCAAGGCCACATACTGTGTGACCCCAGAGGAAATGTCCTTAAAAGAATCCTCGGGGGCTGAAAGGGGCCTGAGTGGCAGTCATGGGGGAGCAGTGGAGAATGGCTGCTCGTGGGTATCGTGTCTGGGGGTGAGGAAACATCTAGGAGGAGACATCACGTTGTATGAGTGCCTGGCTGTTTTGGAGAATTGGAAGAAACTGGATGGAGGTGTTGGTAGCTCAGGTCTGGACATTTGTCAAAACCCATCCATATTCTCTTCAAGTCAGCAGGTTCTAAGAAGTGAGGTGTCAGCTCGTGAATAAAGAGTGTTGGTGGCAGCTCTCTTGCGCGAGGTGACTGCAGGCGCCTCTCTGTCTTTCTCCTTTTACACTGTGAAAAAGAAAAGAAGAAAAAAAAAAGACCTTTGGGAAAATACAGTCACTAATTATTTTAAAATGGAAAAGAACGCTCCGCCAAATGGGATTCCCGAATGGATATAAAGAGTCATCAAAAGCGAGTGAGAAATCTTCAGGGAGGTGCATAGTGACTTATGAGAAATGAACCAGAATTTAAACTGATAACAGATTGTTATCACCAAGTCAAGTCTGGGCATGCAGGTTGGCAGAACGTGAAGAAATCCCCAGCTCCAGTGAGAAATCCGGAATAAGATGAGTAGCAGTATACAGAATGAGACCAAAAACCAAAATGGAAACACTTGTTTGTAACAGAAGTGCAGCCCATGGTTCTGGGGATGCTGGCAGCTCCAGCTCCCCGTGCTCCCTTGTGGTGCTCCCTCACGATGCTCCTACAAGGTGCTCCCTCGAGGTGCTCCCTGACACATAGGCCTGGCTCCTGCTGAGGGGGGGGCACCCCCACCTGACTGTGGGGCTGGGACTCACCTTTTCTCTGCAAAATGCTGCACCCATCTAGATGCAGCTTCCCCGCCCCCCTCTCGAGGTGCTTGCTCCCCCAACAGCACCCCCATCTCGGACGCCCCTTTGTGTGGTAAGCCGGTAGAAAGCGTCTGGGAGGCCTGGGAGGCCTGGGAGGGAGGAGGTAGTACAGCAGGTTCTGTGTCTGCTGGTCTCCACCCAAGACTCTTCCTGTCAGAGACTGTCTGTGCTTTGGCCCTCTTCTCTCCCTTTGGGGTGTGGCAGGACTGGGGGTGCAGCAGGATTGTGGAGGTAGGAGGGTTGGAAAGGGGGGTACTGCTAGGTTGCTGGCGGGAAATCTGTTTTGTTCTCGTCTCCCCCTCTCCCTGCCTCCCAGGACCATCCTTCAGCTTTCCTCCCCTCTCTTCCCAGGCTGGGGTCTTGGGTTGTAGGGTCCTATGTGCGCCTGGGTGGGGGTCGCACCGTGTCCCTTGGACACACTTGGTCTGGGAGGCTCAGCACAACCTGGAGTGGAACTCCAGGGCTGGCTGGGAGCCGGAGTGCACAGGAAATAGAGGGTACCCAGAGGCAGAGGTGTGTAGACCGACCCCAAATTCCAGGTGTCTGCAGAAAAGCCTCCTGGTCGCTGGTGTAGGAAGTACCCATGACGCCCCGCCTGGAGCACGCCAGCCAAGGGTCTGTCCCACCCCACTTCACAGCCACTAAAATCAAAATCCTTTGTTCTCAGCCCTGGTCCCCCCAAATGCCATAACTTCATTTCCTGTCTTAGTCTCCCAAGAAGATTTGTGTTTCTCTCCTACCTACCGCCTGCCTTGCCAATTGATTTGCAAATAGGGCTGATTTCTCCAATCCTGGATGCATTATCTGAGCCCAGGGTGGGTGATGGGGACTCGGCCTTGACCTTCAGGCACAGTCCTGCCAGGGGCTCCCTTTGGGGTGATGATCATGGCAGTGGAGACACTTAAATTGGAGGTTGGGTAGAGAAGTGTGTGGGCCTCAGGCGGCAGCAACTAACCAGGCAGAGAGGGGTCTGCGTGTCCAGCCCCAGCTTCTCCCATGAACAGTGTGCGGACGGGTCTCGTCTCTGGAGGGCAGCAGGGAGGTGGAGCTGGCCTGCTGGTGGCGGGCTGGGCCTTCTCCGCTGTGCTTGTTACCACCATCGTCATGGCCGTCCCTACTGCAGCTCCAAAGAGAAAGGAATTGCACCCGGGAACTTCGAAGGGGCACACCGTCCAGAGGCCCTAGGAATCGGGTGTTGTGCCAGCGTGGCCCCAGGACCAGGGTCTGTTCCAGATGTGTATGCTGGGGGGGTATAATGGAAAGGGATGGGGTGAGTCAGCAGGACCAGCTACACCCTGCTTTTACTAAGGGTTCCGGAGCCACACCCTCCCACCCTCTGCCCTCCCCCAGCTGTCCTGGCTCAGAGCTCTGTGCTGGGGAGGAGGGCATCGGGCTGGGCTGGGGCTTGGGGGGTCTAGACTGGAGCATAGGGGAGGGCCAGGGGCCTGGCTGAGGTCTCGTTTCACAGGAGAAAGTGGGTATTGGGGTGTCTGTAGAAGTGTCAGGGCTCTGGCCTCTGGGTTGACCCAGCCCATCCCAGAGCTCTCCCCTCTCCAGGTGCCTCGTTTAGGGGGTTCCCTCTGAACATTTTTCTATCAATTCTTTGTGTTTCTCCGTCTCTGCGCGCCTCTCCTTTCTCTCTGCGCTGGGCCCTTCCTGCTGTTGGACTGGGTCCTGGCCCTTTTCTCCAGGGACTGGCCCGTCTCTCTCTCCTGTCTCCTCGGTTCGCTTTGCCCCCCACCCCCACCCCGAGCCCCAGCTCCTGCAGGACAAGCCCCACGAGAGCTCACTGCCCAGAGGCGTTGCAGTTGGTGGTGTGGTGATGGGACTCTGTGGTGCTTCCTCAGACAAAGCTAACAGGTGAGACCCTGAACCCCAGGGGTGAGGGCTGGGAGGTCTCCAAGGCCCAGCTGACCCCAGCTTCTTCCAGAGCTGAGGCCCCAGAACCATCCTTGCCAGCAGGCGCCTCAGGTCATTCTGCCCTTCTGGGCCTGAAGTCTCGCTGTCTGGCGCCCGTGGCCGGGTAGACCAGACGGCTGCAGTGGGAGGGGGCCGCCGGGCCGCTCCCCAACTCCACGCACCAAAACTAAACTCCAAATGGACTGAAGCCTTGGCTGTAGGCCTGCAACGACAAGGCACGGAAGAGCGTCAGCAGTGAGATGTTTCTGAAGAGCGACTCCTTGGGCCAGGGAAATGAAAGCAAAAACAAATAACGTTGATTAACCTCAATTACTATTTTTTGGCAGTGGAAAGTGTCCCTCCAGGAAGCCGCCGGCCAGTGCCGCTCATCACCCTCACCTGGAGACTAGAAACACCATCCCCGAGTCCACCCGTCTCTGGAGGCGGGGCCAGCAGTGGAGCTTTATTTGCTTTTTTGTGACATTCCTAAAAAGCGTCTGAAAAATTGCCTAGCCCAGGACTTGACTTAGTCCCAGCCAACGGCTTTCTTCGCCCCCTACTGGGGCCAGCACACCAGCGCCTCCCCCAGAGAGCCTGCACTGGGGGAGCAGCCCCTGTCATTTAGCCCCAGAGGGCCTTCCGTGGAGATGGAACCCCCTCTCAGGAAACTGCTGAGCAGGCAGGCAGATGAGGGGGATGGCTGCCACAAATTACAGGGGGGAGTCTGGGGGCAGAGTCTCTTATTAGTCTGTTAGCTACAGGCTGGGCCCAGGGGAGGCCAGGCCCTGAGGGAGGCGGTCAGCCTGATGACAGCTCCAGGTTATGACTGGGGTTAAGTGCTTCTCTTCCTGTCTGGCTCTCAGAACCACCAGGAGGATTTGTAACCGACCAACTTTTGGACTGTGTCCTGCATCATTTCAATGCTAGGCCCAGGCATCAGCATTTAAAAGCGCTGACAGCCACGTGGAGACTCAGCAGTGCTGTGAAACTAGCCACACCTCCTTGGCTCAAGTCACCAACACCAGGTGAGATGGCCAAGGGGGGGTCACCCTCTAAGGCCCTTACCCTGCAGGAAGAGACCACTTAAGGACACACAGGGACCTCATCTGTCATGGTCACCCCAGCATCCCCAGGGCCTGGGGCAGTGTTTGGCACAGTTTGTGGAATGAGTGCTCTGAACAGAGCGAACCTTTATTTTTTTTTTTATTTATTTTTATATTTATTTATTTATTTATTTATTTATTTATTTATTTATACAAGCACTGGGTACAGTCAGAAGCGCGGGAGGGTGAGAGAATTCACCAGAGCCAGAGCAGGGAGCAGAGCAGGCAGAAGGACCGAAGTACACTGCTGAGGGGAGCAGCGGGCGGCAGGAGAGGCCTGCGCGCCATGCGGGACCCTCCTCTGATGGCCGGGGAGCAGCCGGGGATCGAACCAGCGCCGCAGAGGCCGCGGGCAGCTTCGCAACCCAGCGCTCAACCACTGCGCCAACGGGGAGGCCCCGAACCTTTATTTTTTTAATGTTTAATTTTTAAAATTTTTAAAATTTTTAAGATTTAAAATTTTAAGATTTCTTTATGCATACAAAAGCTGGGGTACAGGCCAGACATGCAGGGGGAGACAGGATTCACCAGAGACAGAGTGGGGAGCAGAACAGGTGGATCGACTGAAATACACTGCTAAGGGGAGCAGCGGGCGAGTCAGGAGAGGTCTGCTGCGCCATGTGGGTCACCTCCCTGACTGGGATCGAACTTGTGCTGCAGAGGCTGGGTGGGGGGGGCGGGGCGTGGGGGCTGGGTAGCTTCATAGTGCTGAGACTTAACCCCTTGCGCCACCAGGGAGGCCCTGCAGTGTTATTGAAATAGCTAGGATTTGGAAACCTAAGTGCCGGGTAGAGGATTGAATCAGGAAGAGGTGGTCCGGCCACCCACGGAATATTTCTCAGCTGGAAGGAAACATGGAAAATAGTGGGAGCTTGAAATGTAGATGGAAGGAGCAAAACAGGAGGGGCTGGAGGGAATTACGTGTGGCAAAGAAAGCCAGAGGAAGATCACAGACGCTTTTTAAAAAATACGTGCATTGCTCCTTTTTTGTTTATTTTCTTCTTTGCCAGTGTTGGTCACCTCTGGGAGTAAAACAAGGAATCAAAGGGGAAGAACTGATACAGCAAGGTAGCTATCAACTACCAGATGTTGGTAACTAAGTGAGTTTTGGGAGGTTTAGGGAGAAGGGGAGGAAGAAAGGGAAAAAGGGTGGGTAATGGGGAAACATAAAAAAATTACAGAAATTTCTGCAAATGGGCCTCCCCGGTGGCGCAGTGGGTTGAGTGCAGCGCTGTGGAGCTGTCTGCAACCTCTGCTGCGTGGGTTCGATTCCCGGCCAGCCAGGGCGATTCCCACAGACCTCTCCTGCCTCACAGCTGCTCCCCCCAGCAGTGCCTTTGGTCCATCTGCCTGCTCAGCTCCCTGCTCTGTCTCTGGTGAATTTTCTCTCCCTCCCGGGCCTCTGACCGGCACCCGAGTTCTTGTGTAAATAAATAAATCTTAAAAAAAAAAGAAATTTCTGTAATGACTTAAAAAATGATGGCATAGAAGACACGATAAGGTTGTACGATGGAGAGGAATCTAGGTTCCGCCTCAGGCATTCATGCAGACGCTTGTACTTAATGCAAAGGTGCAAAAAAAGAAGATAAATAAAAAGGTGCAATGCATGTATGGTTCTAAAAGCCATCTTTCGGCTACCAGGGAGCGCGCCCTCCCCATACGCCTGGTCCCTTGGAGACCCCAACCTTGCGGAGCTGGCCCTGAAGTATCTCCCCGGCGCTGCAGGGCTAACCCCTGCCTGCCCCTCCGCCTGCGCTCCCCGGGCCCCTGGGCGCCTGCACGCGGCTCACCCGCCCCCGGGCGGGCGGGGCTGGGGATCCTGTAGTTTGCTGAGCAGAGATGGGTCCCAGCCTGTGCGCCCCCGGGGCAGACGCGCTGAGGCAGCGCCGGGCAGCAGCCCGGCCGGAGGCCCGCGAAG